AACCAGTAGTGGTTGGTGCTAAGGGACGCCCACCAACCTCCATCATGAAAGTCCCTACAGCTAGGTGTAAAATGCCAAACACACACAGTGTCTATGCGACAGGAAAGCTAGATGGTCAAAGGTGCAACTTTGTCATAGACTCTGTGTCTCAGCAAACCCTTGTGAGCATCAAGATGTTAGATCACGAAGGAGTACCAGAAGACATACAGAAGCTTTATGGTGTGACAGGACATTCTACAAGATTGTGGGGACCAGTGTGGGTAACTATTGAGCTCATGGGCATAATGGACAGACAGGAAGTATACTTGGCTGACATTGAAGATGAATGCATATTAGGATTGGACTATCTACTACCAAGGAAGTTTGTAATTGATTTTGATAAAATGACGTTTGGGAATAACAAAGGCCAAGTTCCGGTAACTGTTAAAAGAGAGGTTGAACTAATTAGGTGCCATCAAGGTGAAGTCAAAGTGACTGAAGAAGTTGATGATGACGAATTGGAAACAGGTATAGATATCAGGGCAGAACAGGAGAGGGACCAGGATTTAAGGCCAATGATTGATTTTCTAAAAGCGAGTGTTGTGCGCCCTTTCTGGGAGAAGGTGTCTAGTCTAAGCCCCGTGACAAAGCACTATTGGGCACAATGGGACCAGTTGAAGCTTGAAAATGGAATTCTTGTCCGGAGATGGGAAACTACAGATGGGATAGTGACGACTTGGCAAACAGTTATACCAAGGAAGTTACGGGAAGTTGTGCTGCGTCGATCCCATGATAATTTAACAGGAGGACATCTCGGAATTAAGAAGACATTGAGTCAACTACGACAAATATTTTATTGGATTGGTATGAGGCGAGATGTGGAAGAATGGTGCCGGACATGCAGTACATTTAGTGCAAAAAGTGGACCCAAGCATAAAGGATGCCCATCTTATGAAGAGTTGCCTGAGAATGTGTCAGAGTTTGTGAAAGTGTTACCGGAAAGGATGGATGATATCCACCATCAAGTGTGTTCAAACATGAAAACGTCTGCTGATTCGATGAAGCTATCTTATGATAAGAGATCTACTGAAGTCAGCTTTGAACCAGGAGACAAGGTGTGGTTGTATAATCCCCGGAAGACCAAGGGGAAGTCTCCTAAGTTGTCTTCTCCATGGGAAGGCCCATATGACATAGTGGATCGTCTCTCAGACGTGACTTTCCAGATAAAATGTGGTCGGCGAGGTAAGCCAAAAGTGGAGCATGTCAACAGGCTTTGGCGTTATCACGGTCCAGGACATTTCAGTTGGGACGAAGTGGACAACAGAACAAATGACGCTGCTGAAGACGTGCTACCTGAGAAGCCACCGTCCAAGAAGAAACTCTACTCAGTTTTGAGAAGGGAAACGGTGAAACTCTTGATGAAGTTACTACCACTGATGTGACTGTTACTGACGATAGGACATTTCCTGATGATGCAGATGAACCCCACATGAAGCAGAAGCCAACAAGACGGAGACCAGTATGGAAGAAGATACGTCCCGTAAAATTAAGAGACTTTGTTGAATTGTAATTTTTTGTTTGTAATCCTGTACAGTTAATTAAGTTATTGTTAATTGTTATTGGTTT